CTTTACACCGAGCTCATTTTTCAATATTTGCCGAATTGAATATTGCGATATGTTCAGCTCACGAGCCATTTTTTGGCCACTGCAACGCGGTTTCGATCAAGTCTCTTCTTTACTTTTCTAACCATTTCTGCTGATGTTGCTGTTTTCTTCCGTACACTTCCTTGACGTCGGGCTACGCTACCAGTATCACGGTAACGAGCGATGGTACGAGACACAAATGATTTATTCACATTTTAATGCTGGAGTGCTCTAACGATAGGCAATTGTGGTTTTCCAGTCAAATATAAAGAAATCACACTATCACGCTTGAATTCTATCACGAGTAACTTTTTTTCTGAAAGTTCTCACCAAAAATGCTTTAGTACGCTTGTAAACAATATAATGAGCTGTCACTGGAATAATTTTAACAGCTGTCCGACGAGTAGCTTAGAAATGTCAATAATCTGAAATTGGTTGCAGTTTTTTCATCTCACCTTATATGTCAAATAAATCCTCATAAAGTAGGTTAACGCGGTAAAAAGTTCTAATGTGTACGTCGATTTATTTTGTAAAATATCTATCAATATATTGAAAAATTTCTGGTGTTTATTATCCCAGTTGAAACCACGGCTAAAATTTTAAAATTATTTAAAAAGGCACTGCACTTTTATAATGAGTCATATCTCAAAAAATACCTATATAGAACACATTCTGCAGTAATGTTATTGCCAACCGAACACTCCAAATGTAAAAAATCAAAGTTATTTCGGTTTGAAAAACAAGGACTCAGAATGGCAGCGACTAGGATCGCAGGAGTCTAATATACTCTAAAAACCCAAAATACCTAGTTATAGTCACACCGATTGGAAAATGTGCCTAGGATCATCAATACATTCGATTTTACGTAAATGGCAATGACACAACATTACTCCGATTAACATGGAATTTTGCATCGCATATTTAACTGAGTCTAGAATGGCATATACTTGACATTGGTTCAGATTTAGATTAGCTCACATGTTCATATACTATATTTGGCAGAATTCAAGTAAATGGCGCCCAACTGACAGAGAAAATTTGCAAGAATTGAAACACTTCGCCAAATCTTAAAGACTTTTCAAGTTGAAAGGCAATCATAGCCTGGGTCAGACACATGCTAAGGAATAGATAGATAAACTGTAGCCTACTAGACCTAATTATCAGGAACAAAATAGGAAAAGGGACGCCGCAGAGACGGATTTTATCACAGCTGCTGTGAGTTACCACCATCTTTAGTCTCTTAAGAACCTTAGCTGAGAAAGGATTTTAATCAATATTAAATAAAAGTTAAATATCGACTATATATCACCAATCCTTAGATTTGACGATGTAGATGTCGTTATTCCTAGTAGAGACGACTGGAAACGAAATAACCCTCCTCTGTACGGTCTGGCCTTCTATACAGACGGATCCAAGATGGAAGAAGGTACTGGGGCAGGTGTCTACTATGAAAGGTTAGGCCTTGAGTTAACCTACAAGCTGGATAGCAACTGTAGTGTTTTCCAAGCTGAAATCTTCGCGATCTGGAAGGCAGCCTAATTGATAACAAGTCTGGATGCAGAGGTCGTTGAACCGGTGACTATCTTTGTGGATAGTCAAGCGGCTCTTAAAGCCATCAAATCTTGTCACATCAAATCCGAAGCCGTCCTCAGCCGAGCAGCTCTGGAAGAAATTAACCATAGCTATCGGTTGTGTTGAGTACCAGGACATTGTGACATCTTGGGTAATGAAAGTGCGGACGAACTAGCTAGACGAGGATCTCAATCCACCGATCTAGAAACTGATGACTCAATCAAACCACCCATATGTCATTTCTATAGGAAATTCTTTGACGAAATAGCCTGTGAACTTTGGCACAACGAACCTATGTGCAACGTGTCTACCAAAAGAACGCACTCACTATTGAACCTGAGCAAAGCTGAAATTAGAGTGATAACGGGAATCATCACTGGTCACTGCAACATCAGGACTTTTACTAATAAATGGGATCTTGATGCAATTGATTGCTGTAGCCTCTGTGTTGACGAGGAGGAGACGGAGACAATTGAGCATCTCCTGTGTCATTGCCCAGCCCTGGCTTACAGGCGACAAAGACTAATGGGTGCTCATTTTCTACCGAGTCTCAGCTTCTTCTCAACAACCGAACCTGCTCTAATCTACAGCATAATTAGAAACATAAAGTGGTTAGGAGCACACATCCTTGACACGTAACACATTTTCTGTCTGACTCATAGGGCCATCGACCTTCCTTCTTCATTCCTTTAATTTACTAATCTTCTCTCCTCTACAGATCTGTCTTTGGTCTCTTCCCTTCACTGTATCTCTTCTGGTGGATGATCACAACGGACCTAACCGGTCTCAGAGTGTTGCAGTCACACATGTGACTGCACATCCTCAAACCTAACCTAACCTAAGTTAAACATCTGAGAGTAATCATAGACAGAATGCTTATATGGAAAGACCACATACAGGAACGGGTAGACAAAGCCCACAGATTCTGGTCCTTCTGCAGAAGAACCGTAGATTTTTAATGGGGTTTTAATCCAAAGATGATACACTGGATCTAAAAGAGCGTTATTAGACCAACCCTAACATTCGCGTCAGTAGTATGATGGACAGCAGTGGACAAAAGGTGTAATGTAAAATCGTTACCGAAAGTCCTGAAAACATGCTGCCTAGGTATATGTGGGACAATGAGGACAACAACTAAAATATGAAGCGGCCGTCGCAGCGTTAAAATCTAAAGTTATGAACAAGTGGCCACAATCGGATACTCGATTAGTAGTTTTGATTCGGACCGAATACCTGAAATAAGATTAGTTACAAAATGTGAAACTTTGATACCATACATGAACTCATGGGATAGCGGAACCGTAGCAAATATGTCCCCCAGTTAACTGTTGTTACACAGATAGCTCCCAGTCGGGACTGGGATTTTTCATTGAAGAACCCACCAGATGATCACAATACGATCCTACAGGTGGAGGTTCAAACCATAAATAATTCCTCGCGACAAGGTCTATTACGATTCATATGGGTACCGATTCATAGAGGAATAGTATAGATAGTAAATATAGTATATATATTAAATATAGTATAGATAGTATAGAACTGAGGTCATGGGCAACGGAAACAATCTAAAATTCTTTGGAATAGCGAGGAAACTAGGAAAAAACAAAAAAAAAAATTATGATGAGACCCAACTGAGGATAATGCTAAAATAAAAGGAAATCAGTAGACTGAGCGGTATTCTCTAACAGCCTGCAGGCCCATTTACACAAGATTGGATGCGAGGAAAGCCACTGGGTAGAGGGTATGTAGATGACAGCAAAATGTTAGAACATTTCCTGTGCCACTGCCCAGCCTTTTCAAGCTTCCCATCCAAATTCTTAGGAAATGACAACTTTCGTAAAATAACCGACCATATGGGGGTGTGAATGGATAAACTGATGGACCTCACAAACCAAACGGAATTCCTAGATATTTAGGACAATCAAATCAAAAAATGTCTGAACAAAAATTAAAATTATTTCGGATTGAAAAAATTGACTCACAAAGAAAGTGGTTGGGATCGCAGAAGTCTTATAACCTCTGAACCCTGCCAGAAGTCTAAAATCTCTAGTCACACCTGTTGGAAAATGTACCTAAAACATTGATACATTTTCCTGCGATTTTAAATAAATTGTACACCTGTCAATGGTGTTACCGATTGGCATAGATTTTTGCGTGGCATTCTGAACTGAGTCTAGAATGACGTATCTCAATTTCACTTGACATTGGTTGAGATTAGCTCACATATTTGTATACTACATATTTTTGGCAGAATTCATGTAAATGGCGCCCAACTGACAAAAAACATTTGCAAAATTTTATGAAAATGGTACACGAGAAACTCAAAATGTTTTCGATTGAGACGAAATTTTGTACAGGGTACAAAATTGAGTCAACATATGACGAATGTTGAGTTTTGGTTCAAATCTCTTGAGCACTATAGCCAAATCTAAAGCTCAGATCAATAATTTCGTGACCTGTGTCAAGTTTACATGACATTGGTTCAAATTTAGATTAGTTCACATATTCAAGTAAATGACAGAGAAAATTTGCAAAATGTAACTAGGTGTGTCTGGTTACTTTTCCAGTAACATTTATTCAGTAAGTTCTAGTACAGAGAGTAAGCCGTTTTTACTCTCTTTTGCGATAGTACTGAGAAAAGTAAACAGACAACATTTAGTAAGATTTAGCAAATAAACAGCTGATTCAAGAAAACATTTGATTTGCGCCAAAATAACCAACAAACAAAGGACGAACACAATTATTTGTATAGCACTTAATATTAAAAATAAAATGAATAATAAAAGAAAAATTGATTTGGTATGTTCCCCGGGAACATTTAAGCTTCCTGCATCAATACATTGTCCTCTATCTGGAACTTGCTGTTAAAAATATATAAGGAACAGAGATGGTCCGTCAGAAACAGTGACGTAAATGACATACATTTTCGACGTATATTACATACGTCAGAAACGTCGGAAACCCACCCAAAACCATTAGGTTTTTGACAAAATACCTATTTCCATTAATGAATTTGGAAATTACGTATGCTTTACTGAAATCCACATAAAATTTAAAAAAAAAAAAATCTCAAAAAAGTTTAGAATTTTGTATTAGTTCTAGTAAGGAACAGACAGATATATGTAAAAATAATATGTATTTTTGAAAATAACGGTATATGGTAATAATATTCGAATAACATAAAAGTTCGTCATACAGACCATCCCTGATAAGGAATTAGTTTCTAATTTAATGAAACTTTGCATTGCTTAGGAATTTTCTTCCATTTTCTGTAATTTTTATGCAACTTAACTTCAAATTGAACTTTGCAAATTAAAAAAAAATGACAGAGAAAATTTGCAAAAATTGCCGATTTCAAACTAGACTGCATATCGAGCATATCGAGTTTAGTTCAAATATGTCCCAATTTTCATATAGCTGTCATATAAAGTTAGAGATGAAAAAACTGCAACCAACTTCAAACTGCTGTCATTTCTAAGCCACTCGTCCGACAGCTGTTAAAATTATTCCAGTGACAGCTCATTATATTGTTTACAAGCATACAAAAGCATTTTTGGTGACAATTTTCCAGAAAACAATTATTCGTGATTGAATTCAAGCGTGATAGTGTGATTTCTTTATATTTGACTGGAAAACCACAAGTGGCTATCGTCAGAGAGCACTCCAGCATTTAAATGTGAATAAATCTTTTGTGTCTCGTACCATCGCTCGTTACCATGATACTGGTAGCGTAGCCCGACGTCAATGAAGTGGACGGAAGAAAACAGCAACATCAGCAGAAATGGTTCGAAAAGTCAAGAAGCAACTTGATCGAAAACCGCGTTGCAGTGGCCGAAAAATGGCTCGTTAGCTGAACATATCGCAATATTCCATTCGGCAAATATTGAAAAATGAGCTCGGTGTAAAGCCATTGAAATTCCAAAAAGTGCAAGAACTTACACCGCAACAGACAGATGCTGGACTCAAAAGAGCAAAAGAGTTGCTTAGCTTGGCCGAAAGTGGTGAACTGCAGAAATTGGTTTTCTCCGATGAGAAAACATTCATTGTCCAGCAGTTTGTAAACAAACAAAATGATCGTATTTACTTGCCGAAGAGGTCTGCCGAAAATGTGCACCTTCGGTTGGCCACCATAACTCAAGCGCCGGTCATGGTGTGGGCCGCCATAACAACAGATGGTCGCTCTCCGCTTGTATTAATCGATTGTGGCATCAGAATAAATGCCGAATATTATCACAAAAAATTCTGGAGGGTGTATAAAAGCCTTGGGCACGCAAACGGACATTCCAACAGGACTCAACACCTTCGCACTCAGCACGCGCCACCCAAGAATGGTTACAACATGAGGTTCCTCGCTTCACTTTCAGCGCACCATTGGCACCAAAATCTCCAAATACTAATCCGATGGACTATTGTGTCTGGAGTATTTTGGAAAGCAAGGTTGGCACTAAAAAATACCAATGTGTTGATCACCTCAAGCACTTCGTCGGGAATGGGCCAAAATACCGCAGAGCAACATTCGAGCAGAGTGTGACGGTTTCATTGGCCGTTTTAAGGCCATAATACGTGCCAAAGGTGACCAATTCCAACAAATCTAAAATTGTTCTATATATACTTTCATACCCCTTTCCGAATGCTTTCGATTACTGGTGTCAAGATTTTGTATCCCTTCTTTAATCATTTAAAATATGCTTACGATCTGCTTCGATTAAATTTGTTTTCCTTAATTTTATTCAATTATAAAATAATATTATTTTGTACTCATCAAGATAAGTGTGCGTGTATGACTCAAGGGAGGAAAATCCATTAAGAGGAAAGAAGCTCACAGAAGACGCCTTAAGAAGAACAAAACACTTTCACTCTTTTTGTTGCCAAATTTTAATTTTTCTGTTGTTCTTGTTGTTGTTTCGTTTGTTAACAATTCAACCAATTTTCCTAATTCGTTTTTGTTGTGTATTTTCCTCTTGTGTCGCTTTTCGTGAATGAGCTCGTCCGCCATGGCGTCAACCGCGGCACCACGAAAACGGCAACATTGTTCAACTACTCATCAAAGAAAGAGGGGCTGCCTGCCGATGATTCGGATGATGATGATGATGATGCTACCGCTGCTAACTTTGGTCGTCGTTGCCGCGGTTCCAATGGACGTATACACATTTTTATTTTAATGACCACTTTTTTCACACACACTCACTCACGCTAACACATACACGGCGATACACCGAAATACCAATTTAAAAAAAAAAACTTTGCTACGGTCAAAATGAAAAATTCCAATTTTCAACGATGAACACTTCTACTCGATTCTACTTTTTGTTTTCAAATATTTTACATACAAATCGCAATATTTTCACTCAACACAGAACAGTTTACGTTATTATTTTTTTTATATAACCTTTGTATTTAGCGATCTCTTTGAAAAAAATTACTTTTTTTCGTTATGGATTTTGAAACGATATCTCACACTTAGACTCAAGTTGCCGTATAGTCGGTGATATTAACATCTATAGCTGTAATCCGAAAACCACCACCACCGCCGTAAAGTTGTGATTTGTCGCCGTCTTCGTTACCGTTCTTTTCGTTTTCTTTTTTAATTTTGTTCTAACTTTTCTCTTTGTCTTTAAATTTTCTTGAAGAAGAAAATCGTTTTTTTTTTCTTTTCCTCCGTCGTTTAATCACAGAATGTATTCACGATTTGAAAAAAGCAAAGCAAAAAAAAAGAAAAACGTACGAAACGAACAAACGATCGTTACACTTCCACTCCGCACCGCTGCTGCACCACGCGTACAGACGAAAAAGTGATCTTTCTTTTTGGGATCGGAAAACAACTCACGTCTGCCAAGTTAAACGTTCAATACTAATCTAATTGGAGAAAAACGAATGAACGAATTTTCCGAACTCTTGGCAGCATCCATTTGAATTTCCTGATAGAGAGTACAACGAAGAAAAGCTCTCTCTCCCTCTCCATGTATGAAGAATTTTCCTGCCGAAAAGGCACTTTTTAATGATAACAAAAGGTGACCGAGATAAATTTTTCAATATGTTCTCACTTTTCCACAGTCTCCCGCTCTCTCTCTCTCTCACTCGTTTTTTTGTTATCTTCGAATGTCTGCATTTAAAAATATCTCCTGTGTGTTTATTTTCAATATTTTTTAAATGTTCCACTTAAGAATGTCCGATCGTTACTGCCTGTCGCATTAATGCGCCAGCCACTTCTGTTCGGCATTTATTTTTGTTGTTGTTGTTGTTACTATTATCACAACAACAACTTGTGTGATTTTTTGACGCGAATAAAAAGTGCAACATATAAACAAATGAAAACCTATAAGTAAAGGATAAAAGTCGGACGGATACGACTATGTGATACCCTCCGCCACTTTAGATATATATATATATATATATGTAGTCTATATATAATTGAAATTGGATATATAATTATGAACCGATGTCAATAAAACTTAATAAGCAACATTCTAGACTCAATTAAAAACCCTATATTGAATGCCGTCTTAAATTTCGGGCAAACTTTGAAAGATTCGGGAGCCATTTTCAGAAAATCGAAAAAAGTAATTATAAGAACTATATCCAATTGAAATTTAATATATAATTCTGAATAAAACCTAAGGAAAGGATAAAAGTCGGACGGATCCGACCATGTGATACCCTCCGCCACTTTAGGTATATATTGATATATACCTATATATATAATTGTAGTCTATATAATTAAATTGGATATATAATTATGAACCGATGTCAATAAAACTTAATAAGCAACATTCTAGACTCAATTCAGAAGCCTATATTGAATGTCGTCTTCGGTCTTCGGGAAAACTTTGAAAGATTCGGGCGCCATTTGCAGGAAATCGGACGAAAGTATATTGGGAAATCTGAGCCGATTTCAACAAAACTCAATACACATCATTCTTGGGATCAATTCGGTATGCTATACTAAATTTCGTCTCAATCGGCAAAGTTTGAGAGTAGATATGAAAGCCATATTTGAATCTCAGTACACGACATTTGCGGGAAATAAGACAAAACTAGGTTAGGTTTTGGGATGTGCAGTCACTAACTGTGATTGCACCACTCGGAAACCTTCCGGTCCATTGTGATCATCCCAGAATAAAGATGGAGAGACAGAAGCTAATAAATGGTTTGTTCCCGTACTGCAAGAATGTACTAGATTTTACAATTTTCTTCGATATTATAAAGGAAAAAAGTGTTATCGTAGTAAAAAAAATAGTAGATTCTTGTAGTACGGGGACAGACCAATAGAAATAAAAAAGTATGTTTAAGTGTCGATGGTTGTAGAAATTTCGACAGAAGCATGTTTCGTGGTCAGATTGCGCAATCAGGTTTCTGATGATGTTATAGATTAAAACAGATTACATAGTTGAGATTAGACACGGTGGGAAGTGAACACCTACTAATCTATGCCGCCTGAACTGGGCCAGAACTGGACAACGGCAAAGAAGATGCTCGATTCTCTCCGTCTCCTCGTCGTCATCACAGAATCTGTCGTAATCAGTTACATCATTGTCCCATTTAATGATTAATTTCCTAGTAAAGCAGTGTCCAATAATAACTCCCGCCAGTTTTGATCAGTTTCAGATTCAACAGTGAGTTTGTTCTTTTGGCTGACAGAGATAGATCTTGACACATTGTACCGAGGTTCGATTTGACAATATTCGTGGGCTCTTTTGTTAAAGAACGCCTCAAAATGCCGGAAATGATACCAGATGGGTGGTTTGATTGTGTCAGCAATTATTAGATCTACAGATTGAGATCATCGTCTGATAATTCGTCTGCTTTTTCATTTCATTTTTCATTCAAAAACACATAAAAGAATTCAGGCCTGCTCTGTTAAGTTGGCTTCGCATGAATTGTCAATAAAGGAATATCAGAGCCAAACTTGAATTTGGACGCCGTTCTCCTTTATTCTTTTACAATAAAAGAATCCATCTTAACATGCCAAGCCTGAAAGTCCTCTTATGAGTTTCCCCGTTTTGCAGTGTCCTGGTACCCAGCACAGCCGATAGCTGTTAGTGTTTCCAAAGCTGTTCTACACTCGAGGACGACCTCAGACTTGATATTACAGGAGTTGATGGCTTTAAGATCACAACGTACTGCCTGACACTTAATGCTGAGACCTAGAGGCCTTAAGTTCAGCATTGCACTCAGAACAACATAGAGAGTGCTCCTCTCGGCTCCAGTTATGAGAATTGAGGCGTAGGGAGTGCCACCAGACAAGAAATCCATAGGATAGGATGGGACTTACCATGGTGTTATACAACCAGTGTATAGTCGATGGTTTTAGTCCTCAACTCTTCCCAATGGAATTCTTGCATATATACAGTGCGATTAACCCTCTAGCCGCCCTCTTCTCAGTACTCCTTTTCTATCGTAATTGACAGTCCAGGATTATGCCAAGGTATTTTGCTTTGGGCGAGAGTTGAAGATGCACCCCATCCAGAGCTGGTGGAACACAGTCGCCGATCTTACGCTTCCTAGTGAACATTTGGCCCAACGTGACAGCATCGATAAGGCTCTTTACATAAGGTCCGAAATGGTTATGAGAATCGATGCTGTTATTTGTACCTTATCTAGTTTGCTGGATGTCGACTTTTGGCATAGGGAGTGCCACCAGACAAGAGATCCATAGGATAGGATGGGCCTTACCACGATGTTATACAACCAGTGTATATACGATGGTTTTAGTCCTCAACTTTTCCCAATTGAATTCTTGCATTATCCTCAGCACTCCTTTTCCATCGCTACTGACAGTCTAGGATTATGCCAAAGAATTTTGCTTCGGGCGAGAGGTCAAGCTGTCCATTCAGTGCTGGTGGAACAAAGACGTCGAGCGTATGCTTCCTAGTGAACATCACCAGTTCTGTTTTTGTTGGATAAACTCCAATGCCGTTAGCTTTGGCCCAACGTGACAGCATCGATAAGGCTATTTACATAAGGTCTTTTCTGACAAATTGCTTGCGAAAACGGCGCCCAACCATTTCTATGATCAATCTTCTTGATACATAAGAGACCTGTGTTACAACATAACAGAAAATCCGAATATACATAACTCACGAAAATTGTTCCGGCATTTTCAAGCCGAAGTGGCCGCAATTCGGTATTCTGGATTCTTGTAATGTGAAAAACATCCTGGCAGAAAAAGTTCCCCATTATCGGTATTTTGTAGGTTTTTTTTCGGAAAAATTGTACTTTCTTGGTATTTTGGACAAATTTAAGGAAACTCTACAAAAGTTTGCATTTCTGGCGTTTAGTGGAAAAAATTGTCGATATAGATCCAATTTTTATTAGTTTGTAGGTCTATTTTTCTGTTTAAATAAATTACGAACAAAATCGACATTTTAATGGGATGCATTTCAATCTATCAAATTTTTGATATCCGCATTTGTGGATATATATATATATATATATATATTTGCTGTTCAAGTTACTGGCCGCCACCAACCATATACAAATTTAATAAATGACGTTCAACTTCTGTACAGTACTTTTCCAGAAGGTCATTGCTGTGAAAACGTAGTAAGCAGCTGAATGTTGCTCTGTTCCAGTACTTTTTTAGTAGTAAACCTATTAAAAGGGAAAAACGACAAAATCTCTCTCAAAGTTGAAAATAATACGTGCCTTCAAAGTAGGTTAAAATTTTGTTCTAATGTATATGCCGTTTTACCCAACTAAAGCTAAGGCCACTCTAGACAAATATCAAATATTTGGCTAAAATACTTATTTTGTTTGCCCAAAAAGTGTCAAATTTGTAGAAACCATTGACATTAATTTCCTTGGCCTTCAAAAATTTTGAACTTGATGATGAACTTGAGGATGATTCCAATTGTGTTTTTTAATTAAATCCTCTACTGTTTGGATTCCATTGAACGACTCGGACTTGATAGGTTATCCGTATTCGAAAAAAACACGTGTTAGTTAACGAAGGCCTAACAAACCGCCATTTTGTAAAATGTTATTTTTAAGCCCGTGGGCGTATTATACTTTTTAAACTTTTTTAATCGCGTCCTTCTTTGAGCCGTCCGAAGACGAACTGTGACTTTCGCTTGTTGGGTGACTTTATTAGTCTGCTTTTCCACAGGCAGATTTTTATTTGGCAAATTTTTTGTTTTCTCTTTTGAAATTTTCGCTTGCTTTTCCATTAGCAAATTTTTCTTTGCCAAATTTGCGAATCAAAATACAAAAGAAAGAAAATAAAAGTCAAAAGTGTTTGCATTTTAAAATTTTTTTAATATTTTATTTATTTTTTATATTTTTATTATATAAATTGCAAAAATTAAAAATGAAATTTCACTTGCACAAATTAAAGCAACAGGTTTTTAAACAAAAGCCGGATGTGTGTCAGTAAAGCGAATAGGTTCAAAAGGAAATGTCAACAAAATTGTTTTCAACGAACAGAGCAAAGCAGAATTTGCGTGTACGGCAAATTCTGAACAGGCAAATTTTTGTTTTTCTTCCTCGCACCGCTCTCGCCTACAAACTCAGTATTTGCCAAATAAAAATTTCCCTGTGGAAAAGCAGACTTAGTTGACCTTATTACCTACGATGATACAATAATAAGGTGATGTACAAAAACAAAACGAATGTTTTTGTGTCGACCATCTGTCAAATTTTTCCATATAATATTTCACATGGTTGGCACCATAGCAAATCGAATCCATGTAGAAATTACGCATTTTGACAGTAAATCGAGTCATCAGCTGCGCTAAATGGACTACCTATTTATTGCGCCTTGTTACCAGCTAACACAATGTCGACATTCTTGGTCTGTTCCCGTACTGCAAGAATCTACTACTTTTTACTCTGATAACACTTTTTTCCTTTATGATATCGAAGAAAATAGTAAAATCGAGTAGATTCTTACAGTACGGGAACAGACCATCTATCATCAAAGACATAGAAACCGTAAAGACTCGACAAAATGCATTTTGACAAAATAGTTTATGAAAAAATATCCAGGGGGAATCAGGCATAACAGAGGCATGTTAACAATAAAAACGCAAATACGCGATAATGTGTGCATAAAATGTAAATACAATTAGAGATCTGTATTCAAAAAATATGTTTTTATTTTATAAGCTTGCGATATAGCGTTTAAAACGTTTAATATTGTTTGCTCTGTTGTTATGATATCGTAACAACAGAGGAAAAGCCATCTATTGGAAATTGTTGACGTATCGATTGTCGTATCTTTATACTTTTATGTCTTTGCTATCATACGTTGATGTTATTTATTGATCGTCGATGTTGTTTATTTCCCGAATTGTTGCCAACAGATAAAAGAAAATTCTGGAATTTCCTACTCTTGATGACAAGCTCTTTTTGTGATAACATTCCAAGATTTTATAAAGAAAGTCAAAAGTAGATTATTTAAAGTCTACTTTGTGATTAAATGTCGATTTCGAAGTCAGACTTTTCAATACAAAAAGTCGAAAGTCGACCTACCTCTCCCTAATCATAATTTGCCTAAACCTCATTCGTAAACAATTGGAGCTCCCTTTTTAGTCTCCATCCCACCTCATTCGTAAACTTTCGTGTCTCCTTGTTGACTTCTTCATCATTTCGGTCATTTTGTCTTATCACATCCCATTCGTAACAGGTGGAACGTTTTTAAATGTGTCTGCAGTCGGTGAAAAGGCGGGAGAAAAGCTTCACTCAGCATTTTCGGGCATATTCGAATCAATCAAAATTAAATAAAAAATCAAAATTACATTTAAATTCAAGGATTAAAAGAATTAAACTGATCGGGACCTTTAAACCGAGGTAATGTTTTTCTTTTAAATGGCGATTGAATCTGGGTGGTGAATCCACCCACGGCACGAACCACGAAATGGGTCCATTTGACCGTACGGTCTCCGCTACCCAACCCAACCCCATTTAATATTTTAATAAGTATGTTGCTGAATGCACCAGACACACCAATCGATCGTAAGGCCCTTGTGCAATGATGATTGGATGGGGAGCTTCACTCGGAATAAATTGAAATTTTATTCACTCATTTGAAAGTAAGTAGTACTGAAAGTACTTTGCTCTTTCCTTGAAATTGTGTCCACTGTAGCCCAAAAACAAAACAACGATATTAATATGCTATTGTGGAATTATCAGCCTGTTTTTGTAAATGTAAAATGTCCATTCGTTCGTCGAAAAAACGAACGATTACTCATTTTGGTTTTCGCAAACAAATTACCGCTTGTAGTGAGTGAGAAATAGGAAAGAGCTTTTGGTATTCGTATTTTTTTGGTTTTTGTTATACAAAACGGTGCGTTATTTACGAACAAAAATGTCAAAAACAAACGAAGAGAAAATACCATTCGTTTAAAAAATAATAATAAAGAAAACTATTTGTTCATTACAATTTGTATGTTGTTAGTGAAAAGAACGTAACAAATATGGAAAATTCTGATGAAATATATAAGAAGAAATGGTTTGTAAAAAATTATATATCCCTATGAAATGTAAAAAATTATATTGAATTGTTTGAACCCCTAGCAACAAAAGGACAACGATTGCCCAATTCCAAAAATTGGCAACTGGCCGTCCTGTTTTCGGATCCAATAAATTTGAAGTGGATAACAAGTGGAATAATGTAGATGTATCATTAAATGCCATAGGTATTCTCCTTTGGTAAATATTTTGCTTTTCTTTATAATTAAAATTAATTGCAATCGTACCAAACATTTTGAATTTTCTATTTTGACACTTTTTATGTAAAAAAAACTGTTTGTAAACAATAAACAGAGTTACCCTCATTTTGCAATAATTCTATTGGAAAATTTGCAACAAGATACCAAAAGAAACACTTTGGCACTAATGGTTAAAAACGAATGAAAAAGCTCAATCGTTTCTAGACGAAAGCTTTTACAATTATTACAAAAACCAAATTTTCGACGTATACGTTTTAATACGAACGATACGTGTGACTGGCGGAACAAATTACAAAAACAGGCTGTATATACATTTCTTCAATCAGGATTGTTAAACAACTTTTGGCAACGGTTTCTTCAATCGGGATTGTTAAAAAAAACTTTTGTGCAACGTTTTGAATTTTTTTAGATAGCGATTGAATTTGAATCTTTGAATGCATCACTAAATCACTGGACTGATATGATGCGTTTGGTTGGGTAGCGGAGACCGTACGTCCAATTGGACCATTTGGTTCGTGCATGTGCTTGGCTTTGCCGTGGGTTTAGGAGATCGACATCCAATAACAATATGAAGAATACGTTACAATATGATTATAACTAAATATGCATAGACCAAGGCATAGGCGAATTTCTACAACAAACATCGGTTGTTGTATTTTGATATGTCAAAAAATATTTTGCCAAACAGACAGATTCACAAGGTCTTTTTAAACAATTTTTTAAAATATGTTAATAAAAGTATTGGCAGAAAAGCTCTTCGAAGTTCGGAGATTTTCATTACAACATTTTTGACATTTATTTGCACCAACCGCTGGGCCGATGCGGCTACCTTGGATTAGTCGAAAGTCGACTTACCTATCCCTACAGTGGACAGGCAGGTTATGTAGTCGGTTTTGGATAACAAACGACTTTACAGATTTTTTTCCGGCTACTCCTTGGAAGAAGTAATTTTTGAATGAAAATAATAGCAAAATGTTGTCCCTGTTAACTTCTTCCATGCGTACACTGGTGGTGCGCCAACAGTTCACCGCCGAGGCACTGCGTACCCTGAATACCACTGCCGTGTGTGAGGCTGCCCGTAAGGGAACACGCGAAAAGGCACGCAAGAAGAAGGTAAAAGTTGAAGTGAAAAAAGTCGGTTTCATACCACACAATGAGCGGGACAGTAAGTGAGTATCTTCCAAATAAACATCCTCGAAATATCGTATTGATATGTATAGATTAATGTCTTTCTTTTCCTGTCTGTAGAATAAATTTGTTACGTGAAAACAAACATGTTGACGATTCATGGAAGCAGGTCTCCACCGACAATTGTTATGTTAGGAAATATTATCGCTGGCCCGTTTATACAGTGGCCGAAGCCATACAATGTCATCGTGAAACCCATCATCCCACAATGTATAATGAACCGAATGCACCACTTGTAGTTCATATTGAACTGAATATGAAGGCAGAAAAATCGACACGTTTTGTGGATAATTTTCAACGTATGGCTATGATGCCGCATAAATTCGATCATGGCGAGGAGAGAAAGATTTTGGTCTTCACCAAGGGTAATGTAAGTATTCAAACCGAACCCCACTACTGAAGCCGTTCATGTTGATTTTCCCAATACACCTACCTTGGAACTAATGAAACACAAATATGAAACCAAGTTTCGATTAGAAATTGTTGACACATTTCACAAAAATTATAGATGTGGGTCAATAATGGCTTACAAAATGTTACCCCAATGTTTTGTAAACGTTTTAAAACTTGTGTGATGAAAAACTTACTAGCTTAGGTAGAGTTTTTACAAAAAAAAAAACAAAAACAAATATAATATGACTTGCAGCCACTATCATTCACATCCAGCGAGGCAATTATCTTCAAATCCAAGCAATCCAAAACCCTTCGTCCAGACGACATATTCATGCTCATGTTAGAGATGCTTGGTGCAATAGGGCTGGGTTATCTGACCAAAGTTCTCGAGTTATCGATGTTACAGTTGGTAATTCTAAATATTTGGGAAGTTGCCCGGATTATTCAAATTCTAAAACCAGATAAATTCGCTACTAAGGGGAATCCTACCGGTCGATTTCTCTTCTTTCGCCATAGCCAAGGTTTTAGAGTCTCTATTGCTTCCGTCTCTGAAACAGCATTTCATTCTTGCTACGCAACAACACGGTTTCAGGGAAACATATAGCACACCAAAGGCTTTGCAAAAAAATACTTCCAAGATTGCGAATATCCTCAATGAGCGTCGACCACCTGAACGAACCATTGTGGCAGATCTGTGCAAGGCGTTTGATTCGGTCGATCATTAAAAATTTCCATCTATTTAGCCACCATAACCAACTTCTTCAGGGAGCGCAATGTTTGCTGTGTTATTTTTCACCTCTTGTGCGCGAGAAGTCAATTTAGAACTAGACATTTCTATTGAAGGTAGCCGCATCCCCAACGTTCATAATCCGAAAATCCTTGGGTGGTCTTTGATAAACTCCTTCATTTCTCCTCGAATTCCAACTACATCAATGAGAAGATGAAAGCTAGGAATAAAGTTTTGAAAGTTTTGGCTGGCACCTCTTTGAGGGGCAAGGATAAAGAAACGTTGGTAACGACATATAAGACCATAGGTCGCTCCATTCTTACATTTTTAATTATGCTGTCCCAGTCTGGACTTTCCTTACCGACCCGCAATGGAGATCCTTGCAAACACCACAAAATAATTCACTTCGAATTGCAACCGGCTGCGTCCAGAAGACGAGCGTCGATCACCTCCATTAGAAGACCAGGATGCATACATAATGTGTTGTTGACTAGGCAGTTCCGCTATAGTGATGGCATCCTCCTTTCGTTATTATTGTTGGCACTCTCTCTTTTCGTTGACGTTATTCCATCGGACATCAACAGATTATCGATATCGAACGCGATTAAGCGTTCTATAAATGGCTATAGGTGCAACAAGCTATAAATGGCTATAGGTGCAACAAAGTCCGTCTCCAACATCCTCCTGCAATTTCGGACAGTTCGATTCTGTCACAACTGGGGTCCGCATTGTCCCCAAGATCCTAAATAGGTATCCCTCCTGCCAGCAAAGCCCTCACGACTCACACCACCTATTCAATTGTCCGTCCGAGCCTACAATTCTATTGACCATAGACTTATGACTAAAGCCATATAGGTGGCACAGTTTCTCCGGCTATTTTCTTGAAAAGAAATTTCATCAACAGCTAACCTGTTACAACAACAAATATTTCATCCTTCACATTTTAATTTCTTTCAAATTTCCATTTTATAGGACGAAATTGCCGAAGCACGCCAGGCTGGCGCAACACTTGTTGGTGGCGTCGAACTCATTAAGGATATCACCAATGGCGAACTACTACTTACCGACTATCAATATGTCATAGCTCATCCAAATATATTACCCGAATTGGTTGCCTTGCGCGGTCTAATGAAACGGAAATTTCCCAATCCGAAATCAGAAACGCTCGGTACAAATCTAAGTGAAATGATTCGCCGCTTTGCCGATGGTATCAGTTATCAGGCCTTTAAAGATGAACATCAACAAGATTTTGGTTTGATTACCACAACGATTGGCACCCTCAATATGGATAGTAAACATTTGGAAGAGAATTTGCGTTCGCTGTTAATGGATGTGAACAGTGTTAGACCGAAACGTGATGGTCGTTTTATAACGCGAGTTTTATTGAAGAGTCCACCCAGCAGTGAACAATTGAAAATTGATGCATTTTTGTATGTGCCAGAATTGTATGAGAAAGGTAGTAGTGGCGGCGGCGGTAATAAGAAAGCCACGAAAACTAAAACCGCCACAAAAGAAGTCGATGAAGATGCAGAACCAAAGGATGAGGAAGATGACGATGAAGTTGAGAAGAAAAAGAGAGCTGTTAATTAATTAAGTTGTTATTAACAAATAAAATGAAAATAAAAGAAAAAACATTGTTTCAATAATTTAGTTTTCTTTTTTGTGTTTTACTGAAAAATAATCAAAAACATTTTAATAAATATTTACAATTTATTGAATATGACCAATATATGTTTTTGGTATAAAACCAATACCTGATCTTTTAACATATTGAATAGATTTGTTTACGGCTGAAAAATTAAATTCAAAAATAGTATCCGATGAATCTGTGCCCGACGTAACTTCCTCTACCTTGGTAAGAAATTCATTTAAAAAAGTTACGCAAACACTTGGTTTCCAAAAACATTCCTAAATTGATAATAAGAAACTTGTATTATGAGTGGTAGACAAAAAATCTACGTCGAATCTAACATACCTTTGGAATTTCGTGTGTTTTCAAGCACTCCATTGGATTTTGAACTATACCATTATCATCTTTGTATGCCAGATACAATTCCCTTACATTCGACAAATAAGATTGAAGCCAATATCTTAAAAGTTTTAAATGGTCATCCCGGAATAAAGTCCACATTTGTTTGGTGGAAATAAATTCAACTTTATTTAACTGTTTTAAATCGTTCCTGAAAAATAGAAATAAAAAAGCGGTATTACAAACTCTCCGTATTGAATGTTATAAATATTTACTTGGACTCATCGGTGATTTTAATAGCCTCCACCCTTCCAGCATAGTGTAGATTATATTTTCCCAAATTGGCTTCATGTATGGCAATTTGAAATATATTGTCATCGTTGCGATTACACAATTCAGGTGAACTATCTTTTCAAGGAAATATGTAAAATTATAATTTTTTATTTAAATTATAATTATTAAAAAATACATTTATATTTATGTCTCAGAGATCTAGATTAAAAAAACTCAATTGAGAATAAACGTTTACTCTCAAGCCAGGAAACGGAATGCTGCAAAACTTCAATATCTTCAATAAAAATAACTCGTTCCTAAAAACAATCAAGACCTGGACTACAAACTCTAGAGTTGTTCATGACTGTATAACAGCTTTGCGGAATATACCTCAGTTTTTTAGTCTTTGTTGGATTCAAGTCCATGTGGATTGCATTCAATAAATATAGCTCCCTCTAACCTACTACATTGGGATGATCCGCAAGATTTACAATGAGAAAACGTGAATTAGATGAAATGAGAAGACCCAACTGTAGAACCTCACTATCTATTTGGCCGCTAATCTCCAAGCGAATATCCCAAACATTAATTTCTATAGGAAGGAAAAATGACCGGACTAGGTCTCTCTCTTCAAAATGTGAAATTAAAGAACCGAATACTGCGGTCTATGTGCGAATGAAGAAAGGACGGAAACGATCCAACATCTGTACTCGGTCGATGCCACCCGAAACAGAAGGCATCAGATGTTTGGCAAACATCAGATAAAGTCTCCATCATTTTACTCCGAGACAGATTTCAAAAAACAATTCACAGCTTTGCCAAAAAATTTATCATGGCTGAGTTACGAATTATAACGACCTTCATAATTTTTGTATTTTCCGCAATCGAGCCTTTGACATGACATAAATGCTATTTAGTACTTACCTATGGATGTTAGTTGAGTTAAACGCCGATGATATTGATTCTGTCCTATATGTTGACGTTGAAATGTTTCTTCTTTCATTGGTCTTTCCACCATAAAAATCTTACCCATGTAACGTGTTACATGCACACCAAAACTATATTTGCCATAACAAAATTCCATAATTCTTTCCAAAATACCACGTCTGCTATATACATCGATCAGTTCCGGATCGTGTTCATGTCTTCTGACATCTGTATTACAATTCACTTGGTGGTTATTTTCCCTGTCGTCGTCGTCATCATCATCTTTGCCAAAATAGGTATGCAACAATGGCTGTAGCAAACATAATTGAGTAGCACGTTGCAATTCAATGGGTATTTCATCATTAGAATTAAGATCCAGAGGATATTCACTAGGACTTGGCTCCTTGAAGAGATATCGTAATTTGTTAGCTGGTGAAAATCGCGTATAGTTCACATCGTAAATCTTTACAACTTTTGGCCTAGTCATATATTCTGGATTCTTTTGAAATTTTTGCATATCAGCAGTGGTAATTTTCAGGAATGGTGCCAACATTGTTGTTGTCCAGAGCACTGGTATTATTCGCGAAAAATTAGTTCGGACAATATGTTAATTTTTTGTATATTGATAAGACATAATAGGCCACAAAACGCCGCACAGAGTTTTTGCTTTGAACAGAGGCTAAACGGACAGGTGAATCCCCACAATATAGTAATCAACAAGTATGTTTGGGCGGACGAATATTTAAACATATGTTTTTACACATGAAAACCTAAACGAGTGATGAATGCAATTTTTATTATGAGCACACATGGTACAATTATAAAAGGTAACAGCAAATCCCAGCTGATTTGATTCCAACGTAATACTAGTGTCAATATGAATTTGACAAATTATGTTTTGGAAAATCACCCAACAGGAAAATTGGGAACGCATACAATTTGAAATTGTTCTTTATTAAATGTGCTCCTGTATTCAATTTACTCAATCTGCCTGCTGGGAAAGTTTGAGGAAGCAAATCTTTCTTCAAGGAATAACTCGCTATTCCCAGCATTTTCATATGTGTTACACATATATATGGCAATGGCTCAATTATAGGAAAGATGTGGAATCGATAGAAATATAAATTTGATAGATTTTCATTCATGGTTTTCAATTTTTATTTTGAGGACTTGAAAATATTTCATTTTCAAAATAAAAATAATTTGATGATAATTTGTTTGTTTGTTTACATTTTTCTGTCAAATGAGTTGACACTAGTAGAACTTACAACAACAAATTTCCATGTGGTTGTTGTATCGTTTTTTGTACAACAACACTTGCTGTTACCTTTTATTATTATACCATGCGAGTGATGAATGCAATTTTTTTTATTATGAGCACAATAAGAACGAAATTATTATTTGCCTACCAGTAAAAATTAGACGTTAATCTTATTGAAAAATGTATCCAAAATCGTCAAAATTGGGTCAAATTGGGTTTTCCGTTATATGGGGGCTTATGCATCTCCGTTCGTCCATGTATTCTTGTAAAGAAAGTACAGATCGCAATTATGATCCGAATTGAATGAAATTTGTAAACGGACAGGTCATGGTATATTCAGTAAGGTAGCCGCATAGGCGAATTTATACAACAAACATTGGTTGTTGTAGTTTTATATGTCAAAAATAGTTTGCCAAAACAGATTCATACATTTTTTTAACACAAATTCTTGTAGAAAATGGTAATAAAAGTATTGCCAAACAAGCTCTTTAAAATTCGGAGATTTTCATTTATATATATTTTTTAATTATTTGGTTCTGGGCACTTGCGACTACCTGGGCACTTGCAACTACCTTATTAAATATATCGTGGGACAGATGAATCCATAGTTTTGATTTAGCTGCCTTGTACGTCAAATGTTTGGTTTACCCACAACATCATCCGACAATTTTTCCTTGATTTTTTTTTTTTTTATTTTAGTCCTGATTTATATTAGGTGAATTTACTTGCGACACTTTTTATCGTTCTCTTTTGAACTTGCTTCATTCGTCTATACAAGGCAATTCGATTTCAAAAATATTTTTTTGACAATGTTATGGATTGGTATTTTAAATTACTGACACTTCAAACAAAATTCACAAAACGAATTGCCGGTACGAGCAATTTTTTCAATTTCTATTCCCCTTGCCCCTCTCTCCTTCAAACAAAAACTTGCCGCAATTAAACTCGTCTAATATAAGTTGGGACTTATTCTTTTTTACTTTTTGTTTTGAGTTTTTGCTGAGTTTTTTAATATTACCCGAATAACGACAGAGTGCAATTGCCGCCATACAAAAATCAAGCGAGTCTGTTTACTCGATATTAGGTAACAATTGTTACCAAAAGTTACTTACTGGAGTTTACTGAAAGAATTTTATGCAGTAAGATTTTGCAAACTCAGCCATATTTGGATCAACTGTGTTACGGCCAAATACAAAAATTATTCAAAACATTGTTTTAATTTGTAAAGTTCAATTAGAAATTAAGTTGTATAAAAATTACAGAAAATTCGTAAGTAATGAAAAGTTTAATTAAATTAGAAACTAATTCTTTATATTTTTAGGCAAGTTCCAGAAAGAGGGCAATGTATTGATGCAGGAAGCTTAAATGTTCCCGGGGAACATACCAAATCAAGTTCATTTCATGTTTAATATTAAATGCAATACAACTAATTGTGTTCGTCCTTTGTTTGTTTATTTTAGCGGAAATAAAAAAGTTTTCTTGATTCAGCTGTTTATTTGCTGAGACTTACTAAATGTTGTCTGTTTACTTTTCTCAGTATTATCGCAAAAGAGAGTAAAAACGGCTTACTCTCTGAACTAGAACTTACTGAGTGAATGTTACTGGAAAAGTAACCAGACACACCTTCATTTTTGTAATATCAGGCGAACGGACTATCCGATTTGATCTATATTTTGCCTTTTATAACCATGACTGTATAATTTTAAAAGATCGTATCAGCCCACTCCTTTTAGTACATCCCCCATAAAGTTTCGAAATTTTGAAAACTTGTACATTTCATACGAAGCGAACGGAATATGTTTACCGTACTTAAATTATGTCCGAAGATTGGTTCTCTCAATAAAAAGAATTAAACATGTGTGTAATTCCGTAGACCAATTAAATTATATTTTTATATTGAGTGACAGACGTACTTATTTTGCCTTTTTAACTGTATAATAGTAGCGTAGGGTATATATCTGTCGACAACACCGACTGTCACCTTTTTACTTGTTGTTACGAACACAATGAGAACGAAGTGTACAATTAAAAAATTTCGAACTTTTTATACCCTCCATCATCAAAATATCTAAAATCGATTGAGGCTCCTAGAAGAAAATGAAATTCCAAACTATATATGGGAGCCATAATCTTATGTGCAATATCAAACATCCTAGGTAC